GTTCAGCCATTCCCCAATTGATAGGCATCCCCTTAATTTCCAATTCTTTGCCGCCACAGAAAGAACCAATATGACTATTTTTGTACATTTAAATCCTTTTCCTTTTTGTTTTTTATCTCTTTGGGATACAGACCTAGTGGTGGTATTATGGGATCAAAGGGTTTTATAGCCCTTTGGGTATAATCCCAAATTGTTCTTCAGAACAGTTAAATCAGTTCTCAACTCCAACAGTGCATTAGTGTCTCAATTTTCCCACATCTCCCCCCAACATTTCTTGTTTCACTTTTATGATAGGTGTGGGGTAGTACCTCAGAGTTATTTTGATTTGCATTTCTCTAATCAATACAGATTTAGAGAATTTTTTCAAATGACTATAGATAGCTTTCATTACATCATCTGAAAACTGCCTATTCATATCCTTTAACCATTTATCAACTGGGGAATGACTTCTATTCTTACAAATTTGACTCACTTCTCTATACATTTGAGAAATGAAACCTTTATCAGAGAAACTTGTAAAAAAAATTTCAGTTATGATTACCGTGTATTTCCCTCCATCCAACTTTCTCTCCATTTATCCTTCTCTCTCCTTTCAGCCTGTTCATCCTCAAAAGTGTTTTGCTTCAAGACTACTGACTCCCCTAATCTGCTCTCCCTATCAGTCATACCCCACCCCTTTCTCTTATCCCCTTCCCCTCCTACTTTCCTGTAGGGTACAATATATTCTTATACCCAGCTGAACATGTACGTTATTCCTTCTGTCAGCCAATTCCAATGACAGTAAGGTTCAAGCATTCCTCCCCATTTCTCCCATCTTCCTCTTGACTATTAAAGCTCCTTCTCAGTGAGGTAATTTACCCCATTCTACCTCTCCCTTCCCCTTTCTCCCAATGCATTTCTTTTTCTCATCCTTTAATTTTATTTTTTTAGACAGCACCCCATCATATTTAATTCACACTCATGGCCTCTATGTATACTCCCTCTAACTGCCCTAATAATGAGAAAGTTCTTAGAAGTTACAAGTATCATCTTCCCATGTAAGACTATAAACATTTTAACCTTATTAAATCTCTTATGATTTCTCTTTTCTGTTTACCTTTTTATGTTTCTCTTGAGTCTTGTATCTAAAAGTCAAAATTTCTATTCGGCTCTGGTCTTTTCATCAGGAATGCTTGAAAGTTCTCTATTTCATTGAATACCTTTTTTTCCCCCTAAAGAATTATTCTGAGTTTTGCTGGATAGGTTAATCTTGGTTGTAATTCTAGCTGCCTAGCCCTCCAGAATATCACATTTCAATCTTGTGTTATCTTGACTGTGGCTCCACAATATTTGAATGGTTTCTTTCTGATTGCTTGCATTACTTTCTCCTTGACCTGAGAGTTCTGGAATTTGGCTATAATATTTCCGGGAGTTTTCATTTTGGGATCTCTCTGAGGAGGTGATTAATGAATTGTTTCCATTTCTATTTTACCATTTGGTTCTAGGATACCAGGGCAGTTCGATAATTTCTTGAAAGATATCTAGGCTCTGTTTTTGATCATGGCTTTCAATGTGGAGTCCACCTTTGGGCAATGCAACAGAGTCCTATACCCAAGATCCCTGTAATCCCCTTCTGACCAGTTGTTTGACCTCCTTACCATCAGTGGGCCGAGAACTCCAGAAACCAATTAAATTGCCCCCAGACCTGTTGCTTCTTGCTGAGGGGTTTTGCCTGCGCTAGACTGCTCTCCACCCTCACTCCAGAGTACTAGACCTTTCCTGATGACCTTCTAGGTGTCTTGTTTCACTCTGTCCTTTGGTGGTTCTGCCATTCAGAACTCATTTTGATGCATCATTTTAAAGTTGTTTGGATGAGAATTTGGGAGAGCTCAGGCAAGTCTTTTCTCCACCATCTTGGATCTACTCTCTCTTTTCTATATATTTTAGGTACAAGTATACCAGAAATAAATTTATCTAACATTAGATATTAATCTAGTATATAAGCCATTTCTAACTTGAAGAGAGAAATATCCAAATTGGTATAGCTCCCCCATGCCTTTGAACATGTTTCACTTCCCAAGAGAATTTGAGGGAATTTGATAGGAATCTTAAACAAGGAAAATAAGTTTGAGGTTAATGTTCTATTTCAACAAATAGAACATAGTCACTTGATAACCACTCAGTTCTTTCTTTGACAGCTTTGATAGCTTCCTTCAAGTGTCATCCTATACCAAGATCTCCTCCCCAGATCTATACTTTAATTTTTTTTAAATGGATAATTGGGGCACTACCCTTAGGTGAATTACAGCCCAATTGCTTTTGAGGATGGAGAAGGCCATAGGCAACCTCTATTCATGATTTGGTTTTCACTCTTAATCCATTACTTTTGAATTGGGAGAAGCTTGGAAAGAGTTTTTAAGACTAGAGAAATATTCTTTTTTAATACAGTTAGTGAAACTGACAATGAGGTTTTTAATATGCTTCTACAAATGCTAATGTATTTCAGACTGTATTTAGAAGTACACAGTATCCATAAATAAAGTGATGACACTTTCCATTTTGCCATGATCAGACCATTGTGCTCATTTTGGGGTGCCACACTTAAGGAAGGATGATAAAAAGCTGGAGAGCTTCAGAGAATGATGACCAGGACTGTGAAGAGTTTAAAATTCAACTGATGAATTAAATGAGTGAAAAAGCATTTATTAGACTTTGTGTCAAGTACTATTCTAAACACTTAAGAATATAAATATATAAGCAAGCACCTTAGTTCCTACCCTCAAAGAGCTTAAGTTTGAGGAGGGTTTTAGGATGGACAAATATCATTTCTTAATATTTTCAGTTGAAAAAAACATAAAAGGAAGGTAAAAAGGGGAGGAGGGTAGATACAGAGGCATAGTTTGGAAATGGCCTGGAAGTAGCATGGTGACCTGGTTTCTGGCAAAATGAGGCAACAGCTCACTATATTCGAATCTGTTGAGTTCAAATCTGAAATGGTTAACCTGGAAAAAAGGAGGCTTGGGAAGCATCACAACTGTCTTCAAGAATCTGAAGAAATCACGGCAGATGATTTGATTTGCCCTTTTGGGGCAGAACTACAGGGAATGGGTAGGAAACAAAATGAGGCAAATTCAGCCTTAATGTACAGAAAGACTTTCTAACAAATATCAGAAAGTGGAAGGGGTTGCCGCAGAATGGGTTGAAGAAAAATGTTAATTACTGTAATTTTGTGTCTTGGGCTCAAGTCTTCCAGAAAACCATTTTTTATTAATTTAACATTATTCTAAATTCAGTCTAGAAAAAGAAATGATCAAATAAGTCATCTCCCCAAACCCTGGTCCTTTGGACATCTATCATCAGACAACTTGAGGTAACAGGAGTCTTGATTAAGGAAAAGGTTACAAAAACATTAAAAAAACAATTTTTGCTTAGCATCTGACTCTATCAAATAGAACTACAGTCACTTAATAGCAATTCATTTCCTTCCTTGACCCCTTAAGTGTTCTCTAGGAATAAATAAAAGGAAACACCCTATGATCAAAATCCTAATCCTTTCAGTGATTTTAAGCAGGCCAGAGTCAATTTTTTGCTGTTGTTACTCTTCTAAGTTTGGTTACCACACCTAATCCATTTTCCTAAGGTCTTAATTTTTCAGGCTTCCCCTAAAGGGAAAAGTTTGGGAAGGGTTTTTGGATGAGAAATATTTTCAGCTGAACTAAAAAAAAGAGGTTTTGTTAATATGCTTCCACAGATGCAATCAGTTCCCTATCACTGGAGGTCCTTAGGCAGAGATGCTAGATGACCACTTAATTGGATTTGTGGGAGGAATCCTTACTGAGATACATGGTGAACTAAATCAGAGGTACATTTCAACTGAGTTTTTGCGATTCACAATTTTAGAACTGATTGGCTCTTAGGCAAATTTCTTCATAAGTCCGCTAAAGTAGTCCGTGCTCAAAGGCTACTGGATTTGAAAGCAGAAGACTGTGGTTGAATCAGAAGCCTGCTAGTAGCCATTTGACCTTGGCCAAGTCAATTAATTCCTCTTGGTCTCAGTTTCCTCATCTGTACCGTAAAGATAATAATAAATGCACAATCTGCCTCCCAGGTTGTTGTCAGGGTAACGGTGCAAAAGTACATTGTAACCTAAAACTAAATCAGATCTGTTATTATTAGTCTAATGCTATTGATTTTATTTATGCTGCATTTACCCCCTGGTTACCTCCTTTCCCCAATTCAGCCCGGCTGGCTGCGGACAACTCGTTTTGGATAAAGCCCAGCTCATCCTCATCACATGACTTCTGTTTTTCTTTCAGGACTGAGGCCTTGCAACACTAGTGATTCTAGGAGGAGGGTGGGGAAAGGGCTGGAAGGGAGGTTTGGAACAGTCCACTTAAAGGGAAATTCTACTCCAGCACCTTAACTCTTGGCCAAGATTACATTTTTCCTCATTCTATATCCTTCTAAACCCCTGAGTCACTTTATTTATGTTGTTGCTCGGCCTAGTAATTTGCAGCTCTAACAGAAACAAAAACAATACAGGCCATAGAGGTGTGGAGGGGACGAATTCCTGGGTAATCCGAGAGGACCCTTAGAGGAAAGGCTGCCAGAGCGTCGGAATATTACTGTATTTGCCCCAAACACTGCAGGTCTTCCTCCCCCATCTCCCCACCCCTCCCTTCCCGTCCCCTACCACTGCCAACAACCCCAACGTGCTTAGAAGGGGTGGACTTTAATCTTTGGTAATTGCTGCTGGATTCAACCAAAAAAAACCCACAAGGAAGTGGAGGGGGAGAAGTACACATATTTGGTATCTTGCCTTAAGAAATTCAGTAGCGAAAGAAACAAATGGCGTGCAAAACCAACACGATGTTTTTATTAAAAAGATTTAGTGAAGGATTATTTCAAAAAAGGAAAGCGAATATCGTGGGCTGATTTGAACAATATTTTCGTTAGCCCCCGGTTCGGAGACAGGACCAGGACGGTCTAGAACATTGTGTGGGAGGGAAGGGCGGGGCTTTGTGACGTCACAATACCAGGCTAGCTACTGTGTTGCTTGTGTGTTCCCGGCTCTCCCAAGAACCCTGCAGGATTTCCCCACCCCCACGCCGGTTCTCTCTCCGCCTCCCAGCCTGGGCCACCCGGGGCCTCAGTCCTGAGTGTTCTCAGCGGGCTGGTGGAACACAGCGGGCAGGGCAGCAGTGGTTAGCACCGCCGAGGCTCTTGGAGTCTCTTACTGGACTCCGACCAGGGGAAGCCAGACTCGGAGAATCAATCCCCTCCGCCTGAGCCAGGCCCCCCAGGGGAGATCGGAGACGCTGCGGAGCATCATGAAATTCCAATACAAGGAGGATCATCCTTTCGAGTACCGGAAAAAAGAAGGGGAGAAGATTCGGAAGAAATATCCTGACAGAGTCCCTGTGAGTGGCATAGGGGCCTGGAAGAAGGGTGGGAGGAAGAGAAAAGGGAGAGGGGAGGGGATAGGGACGCGGACGCGGACAGATCTCTGACCCAAGGAGCTGGAGGGCTCCTTGGAAGATACCTCGTCTCCAATTTCCTTATAATATTCACTGGAAATCCATACTGAAGACGCCCTTCGCCCGACTTTTAGTAGCTGGGGCCCTTCTAAGACTGAGCATCAGCCGTGTTGGAGAATGTTGTTTGTTGTGAGTCTGAGGAATGGGGGCAATGCACCATCACTGTCATGATGCGTGCGTGTGTGTTCGGAGATGAAGCCCCATGACTCAGGAGTGCGCCAGGTGCGTTGTGTAGGTGTTGCTTGTGTTCATGTTGCGGCTCTGTTGTGTGAGAATGGATCGGAAGGGGTCTTTTCTTGACTGCGTATAAGGATGCCGAGAGAAAGCTGTTAATGAGGGTGGCCACCATGGCGACGGCTATGCAGATTCGCCCTGTTTATTTATGTCCTTTCAGTGGTTTATTTAGCTGTGGTTCTGTCCACAGGCTTCTAGACCTTTTGTCCTTGGAATTAATTGGGTGGGGAAAGAGAGACACGGGCCTCTTTCTTCTCTTACTGCTTGGATAGAGAAACAGGTTTAAAAAAAAGAACGAGAAAGAAAGGAAGAAAGAAAGAAAGAGAAAAGAAAGGAAAAAAAAGACCACAGGACCGAACTGGCTTGGCAAACGGGCATGTTATCTGCGTAGCAGCCAGTTTGCTTCATCATCCTTGGCTTCAGAATCCATGCATGTGAGAGTGAGAACAGCTTTTTTCCTGGTGACTGTTTTGCTTTTGACCAGACTGTGGCTTGTCACAAAAAAAAAAGGCAGGAATTGGGGGAGGGGGGAGCTCTCCTTTCAGCTCTGGTTTGTCATATTTTCTGTCCCTGCCACCCTGCTGCGCCACCCGGTCCCCCCCTCTGCTTGGAAACATACTGGGCCTCAGAGGGAAAGTAGGGCTGTTTGGATTTGGGAGAAAACAGGTTCTTGTGGAGGTCGGGTGGGGTAGAGGGAGCATAAACCATAGACTTTGGGAGATAGGAGTGCAAGGACTGGGAGTATGGAGTGAAAACAAAAAAGATCAATGACAAATGCTTTAATGCTTTACCCCGGCCCTACTTACTCCCTGCAGAATGATAGAGGGCTGTATTGATTGACATTACTGCTGGAAAATTTAGAAGTCAGTTAAGCCAGGATAGAGATCTGGAAGTAAAGATAATGGGGATATGAGGCAGCATTTATTTTTATAGCCTTTGTGTTCCTGGTCTAACAGCTGAGACCTTAAGACTGACATTTCCCCAAGCAAACTAGTTGAGGTAGGCTTGGAAACAAGGTAGGCCATCTCAGCACATCTGCATCCAGTTATAGGATGTCAGTCACCCTCTCTAAGAAGGAGGTCCCCTTTCCTGTCACCTCCCACATCTCCCACTGGACACACTGGTTAATATTTGGTTAGAGGGAAAAGATGACTGAGTAAACAAGCTCTCTTCTTGACCTCTTGGAAGCACATGGCATGGTTGACTTATCCTCCCCTTTCTGGTATTTTGTGACACTTTTTGTTTTTTTGGTTTGTTTTTGGTTCTCCTACCTTATCAAGTCTCATTCTCTTTAACATTATCTATAGCAGGTTCCCCACCCCTGGTATATAGCATATCCCCTAACTTCTACAGTACGCTCTTTAACTTTCCTCTGGGTATACAAAGGTAAGTGATATAACCTGCCCTCAAGGATCTTATGTAAGGGGAGACAACATAAATAAGTATACAAAATACATATGGTGTAATCAGTGGAGAGAATGGCACTGCCAGTTGTAGAGGTCTGGAAATGCTTCCTGTTGAAGGTGGAAATTCAGCAGAATTTTGAAGGAACATTCTACAAGACAAGTGAGATGGGAATGTATTTCAGGCATGAGGGACAACCAATGCAAAGACATGGATTTAGGAGATGTTTCATGTGGGAGGAATAGGAAGAAGGCCAGTTTGGCTAGCCTATATCAATGGGAGTCTGGATTTATTAGTGGCCTCATCAACCCCCATGAACTAAATTATCACCTCAGTGAATGTGGCCAGAGGCAGCTGAAGTGGCACAGTGGTTAAAGCTCTAGGCCAGTAGTCAAGAAGACTCAGAATTCAAAACCAGCCTCAGACTCTTACTGGTTCTGTGCCTCTAGGCTGGAGAAGGAAATGGCAAAGCACTCCAGTATCTTTGCCAAGAAAACTCCAAATGGGGTCACAAAGAGTTGGACACAACAGAAAAAAATGACCCAAACAACATGAGGGTGACTTTCAGATCTTATATAGCCAGCCCTAGTCTCTCCCCTGATCTCCAGTTCTTTATCACAAACTGCACTGCCTCTTTGATATTTCAAACTGGCTATCCCATAGATATCCCAAACTATACATGTCCAAAATGTCTTCCTTTGCCCTCTAAACTCACCCCTGTTTCTTTCCAGATTTCCCCCCATATCTGTCAAGGACACCATCTTCTCAGTTATGTTGTTGTTCAGTCTGGTCCAACTCTTCATAACCCCATTTGGGGTTTTCTTGGCAGATATACTGGATTGGTTTGCCAGTTCCTTCAAGGAGGAAACTGAGGCAAACAGGATTAAGTAACTTGCCTGGGGTCACACAACTAGTGAGTGTCTGAGGCCTGATTTGAACTCGGGAAAGTGAGTCTTCCTGACTCCAGGCCCAGTAAGTACCCTATCCACTGCACTACCTAGCTGTGCATCTCTTTAGTTAACCCAGGTTCATAATCAGGAGTCTTCCCTTGTCCGATCCCCTCCTATCCATTCTGTTGTCATCTTGCTTATTGTCCTTCCACAATGCCTTTTTCGTCTGCCACCTCTCCACCCTAATTCACAACAGTATCAACTCTTGCCTGGACTATGTAAATGGCCTTGCATTTGGTCTCCTCAATTTTAGTCTCACTCCACTCCACATTCGAGTACAAGTGTTTTTTTTTAAAGGTCTGATCATGTCATTTCAGTCACTTTAGTGGTTCCTTAAAACTATCATGTCCAGGGTTGTAGAACCTGGGGCCTCGAGGCCGCACATGGGCCCTCTAGGTCCTCAAGTCTGGCCCTTTGACTGAATCCAAATTTCACAGAACAAATCGCCTTAATAAAAGGATTTGTTCTGTAAAATTTGGACTCAGTAGGCTGCTCCCAAGGACTAGAAGTCCATATTAACAACTTGACAATATTATACATTACTCCCCTTCTGATATGATACAGTCTAGGCAGATTTGCCTCTTTGCTATTCCTTATACACAGCTCTGTTTCTTACCTTGTGCCTTGTTTACCTTGTAGGATCCTTAGTCTTCAAGATCCAGTGTAAGGGGCACATTTTAAATGAAGCCTTTCTGATTCTCCCAGCTGTTGGTAGTACCCTTAACCCCCTTGCCATCATCTTGGATTTGGTTTGTATATTTCTATGTACATGTTGGTTCTCCCAATGGCATGTAAACTCCTTGAGGGCAGGGACTTGTTTTAACTTTTGTTTTTGTATTCCCAGTATTGAACACAATGCTCTGGCACTCAGTAGGCCCTAAACACCTACTTGTTGAATTCATTGATTGGATCATTTTGACCCCAGGATTTAAGATGACATAATAGAGTACTCACTCAGACTATGAGTGAATCACCTAACATTGTTGGATTTTATAGTTTCCTCACCTCTCAAAAGAAAGGGTTGGGCTGAGTTGACCTCTGAGGGCCTTTCTAGCTTTAAACTTATGAATCCCCTCATTTTACAGATGAGAAAACTGAGGCTCAGAAGGGTTAAGTGACTTGGTAATGGTCACAGGTAATAAGTTACAGAGCATAATCCCCAAGTCCTGCTATTAAACTCAGTGATTTTGCCACTGTAACAAGTTGTCTCCCTTCTGCTTACTTATTAGTCCTATAATTTGGAGCAGATTCTTTCCAAAGACTTTCCCTCATTGGTAAAAATGAATAAAAATCATTAGTCACGTGATTTGTTTAGGCCCTGTACTTGGAGACCTTCACCTATCAGTGTTCTTGTCTGTGACTTAGTAGCTAAGCCTCTAGGACTTTGTACAAAACAGATACTGTTATGTGCCAGTCACTGTGCTAAGTGCTTTACAAGTATTATCTCATTTAATCCTCACAACAACCCTTGGAGGTAGGTGCTGTTATTACTGAGGCAGGAATGGTTAAGTGATATGTCCAAGGTCACAACGCTAGCAAATGTCTGAGGCCTGATTTTTAACTCAGGTGTTGTCTGACTCCAGACCCGGAGGTCTTATCCATTGCACCACCAGACATGTCAAGGAAGCTATGGTGACATTGTTGTGGGCTGAGAGGTTGAGAGGTTGTGACCCCTCAAAGACCAGAGTACAGGACAGGTCGTCTGGAATGAATTCACAGACTCAAGCATTCTTTAATTCAAGGTGGCAAAGATTTATTGTTATGCTTTTCAGCGGGCAAGGATTCTTAAGGATCCTGCAACCTTAGAGAGGTACAGTTAAAGTTTATATAGGATAAAATACAATAAAACATGTGCCAAATATGCTAACTAGGGGATTCGGGGTGGGATTAGGGAGTAGTTAAGGAGTGGTCAGTTCTCAATTGAAACTCAAGATAAGAAAAGTCCCATTATTCAAGAGAGTATCTGGTCCCAGACGTCCTGGACCCAGTGATAACAAACAGGAAGAATACTGATCAGCTCTATCTGGTCCTGGAATTTGCTGACACAGGAAGGGGTGTTTTTAGTTCACTCAGAGAGAAAAAGATTAATTTAGGGTTTTGGCCCTTATTGGGGCTCAATTGATCTTAAATGATTATCAAGGGACAGTGTTTCTGAGGCTAGGGAGAAATTGGGGCCCAAGTTATAAGCATCCAAACATAAGCACCCAAGCACCCCAACAGTATCAGCCCTTTTACCGATCCCAGGACCTAAATATTAATATATTCGCATTTACAAACTCTGTTTGCCTGAGTTCCTCATCTGTAAAACGAGCTTGGAGAAGGAAATGGCAAACTACTCTGATATCCTTGCCAAGAAGCCCTGTATGGCATCACAAAAAGTCTGAAACAACTGAACGCCAAAAGTTATCACCTTAGCCACTTCACAGGACCTTTTAGATGTTATCTGGGTCTATTTTCCACCCATTCTCCCCAGAAGGATTCCTGGCATCTGTGTTTAGCCTGGAACACCAACCAAAAAGCCTTAATTCCCTCTCCCCCAGAACTGATGGGGGAAGAAGGATTGCATGTGCTTTTTTCAACAGCAGATTTTGAGTTTCTTAGTTCTCTCTCCACCCATTTTTATGGTCTCTTGCCTGCATCCCTGTCCTCTGTTATCTCTAAGGTATTTGTCTTACCCTTTTCCTTCCCTCTGCCAAAGCTGGCTCCTGGGAATCACAATGAATACCTCCTTTTTGACTAGGATGTGCTCATTGTCATTCTTTGCAACCCCTGAATAATTTATTCTTTCAATCCTCCTTTTGAGTGGCTTTGAAGGAGTAACTTGCAGAAATTTAGCCCACTTCCTCATCCCTGGTTTCTTAGCTCCACTGTGCCATCCAATGTATTAAAAAAAAAAAATCTGACCCCTTGCATTCTTGTTCACTGATTTTTTAACCTGACTGTCCTTAAGAGGCCTTTCAGTAAGCCTAGGAGGGCCCCTCCCCAAGTCATTAGGAATTCATTTCATATGTTCCCTGTATTTAATTTTCTGTGAACAGGCTGTATTACCCCCAAGTAGAATGTAAGCTCCCGTGAGTGCCAAGACAGACTCCCTTTTGTGCTGTGTCCCCCATGTCTCCCGTAGTGTCTGGGACATGGTGGGTCTTTAATAAATGCTTGTTGATTAATTTCTTCACATAATTATACCACTTCCTTCCTCACTTTTGCAGCTTTTCTGTTTTTTCCTTTCATTTTGAAAATTTTGCGGGAAGGCAGTTGGGGTTAAGTGATTTGCCCAAGGTCAAACAGCTAGTAAGTGTTTGAGGTTGGATTTGAACTTAGGTCCTCCTCCTTCTAGGGCCAGTGCTCTATTTACTGTGCCATCTAGCTGCCCCTCCCTTATCTTTTCTAAAGCCACAAAATCTAGGGCTCCCAGACTTTTTCTGTCCCTTGGCCTTGGCTTTCATATTCTAACCCTTATAACTGGAGTACTTGTTCCTCATTTGTGCTTATCTCCATAACAGTACAGCTCACTTCTGCTTAGAACACAGAGTATGGGCATTTGGGGAAAAGGGAAATGAAAATATGAGTGTTAAATGGGGCCTATTCTCTATTCAGTTTGCCTTGCTATGGAACCTTTCATCTATGCCATTTGCTCCTAAAGGTTTTGTGATTTTCAATGTGGGAAGATAAATGAGAGGCATGGGGGTTAAGGGAAACCAAAGGAAGGTCAGAAGGAATCATAGACAAGTAGGACACCAAAATGTTATATGTTGGGGCAGCCAGGTGGTACAAGTGGATAGAACTCAGGCCTTGGAGTCAAGAGAACCTGAGTTCAGATGCAACCTCAGACACTTGACATTTACTAGCTTACTAGACCATGGGCAAGTCACTTAACCCCCAATTGCCTCACCAAAAAGCAGAAACAAAAAAAAATGTTATATGTTGAATTTATTCTTTAAAAGAAAAGCAAGCTCTATGTAATAGGAATAACCATTTCATGTACAATTCTCTCCTACTCTACAATGTATACAGAAATGCTCTTTTTATTGGATGTTTGTTAAATTCTGAATAACAATGAAAATAAAAATAAATAAAATATAAATAATAGACAAAAATAAATGGTAAATGCTGGCTGGTTGTTGGACTTGCCTGATAGGAATTAGTTTTGAACTACTTTTTTTCCCTTTTTAAAAAATCCTTTCTTACAGTGGATAGATGGGGAGATAAAGAAGAAAGGCATACATTCAGAAATGAGCAAGTGATATAAAAACAAAATATATCAATACATAATTTTAATTTTTAACAAGTCTCATTTAAGTCTCTCCTTATATCTCGATAACAGGTAATTGTGGAGAAGGCACCTAAAGCCAGAGTCCCTGACCTGGACAAAAGGAAGTACCTGGTGCCCTCTGACCTTACAGGTAACAAAACAGTCTACATCCCCTCACTTTCTTGTACAAAAGATGATCTGCTTTTCCTGGTAAAGAGATTCTGTGGGAAGAGAAAGCTGGAGGTAATATTTTGATTTCTCCAGACAGAATACTCAATTTGAAACAGAAGGCCACAAAACATTTGCCCCTAAATGTCTCCAAACCTATTTGGTGGCTGAAAGGCCATCATTTGATTTCTTTTGCCTCAGATTCCCCTCCAATTAGAAGCACTTAATTACTTTGGCTGCAACATTGTGCTGTGTTACAATTATGTAAAAACAGACCAATGGAATTCAGTTTTCCATTAAGTGGTCTGGGAATGACCATAATGTTCAAGTTGGTGAATTTCCTCTACCAACATAGAAGAATTTGCCCACAAGGTTAATTGTAGGTTTGACTACTGGGCCTCTATCTTGCCTTCCTTCTATTAAAGCATCTTTCCCTATTGCCATGGGCTGTGGGTATAAATAGTTGTCTTAAAGATTAAGATTTGGACTTAGATAAATTACTGGGAACCTTCATCTGAATTCATATGTTAAAGCATCTGCAGTGATCAGAATAACATCTACTGGCAAGTCACTTTCAAGATCTTTGGCAACATTTTTTATTTGTCTCTGAAGTTTAAGGATTATTACTGCTAATGAACATGGCAACTGATGAGGTTTAGCAACCATACTTCAGGTTTGACATTGTAGGTGGAAGAGGTGGCTAAGAAATAAGTTCAAATGATGTAGGAGGACATGAAACTAGGCTCTTCTGTTTGTAGTTTTTGGTGGGTTTTTGATGGTCCAGGAAGCAAAAGGGGACAAGTACCCTGCAAGTACTTCAGAGACAAAGGTAAGGGGAGATTTTGCTCCAAAGGACAGATATTGTCTATAGTATACTACAGATGCTATAGATGCTGCTCTGTGGCTTCTTATGCTTCTGTCAATGCATTGTTCTCTTATGACCCAAACTGAAACTTTTCCTTTGCCTCAATCCAGTTGGTCAGTTCTACTTCTTAATTCGGAAGAGGATCCACCTTCGGCCGGAAGACGCCCTCTTCTTCTTTGTCAACAACACTATCCCTCCTACTAGTGCTACCATGGGCCAACTTTATGAGGTAATGATGATGCCAATCCAAAGTATTCCTTGTCATCTGCAGAACTCCCCATTGGTTATTTTAGTATCTCCTAGAAAGTGTGGCAAGCATGGGCATGAGGGGTGGGGGGGGTCAGGGTAGTGTCTTCCCTTTGCAGATTAAGAGGCAGAGGCCCTGACTTAGAAAGTGCCACATTTTCCACAGGACTTTTGAGTAAAAAGGCATTGACCATTAGACTACGCTCTTTAGCATTTGCTTTCATATTCCTCTCTAATTATGGGTTATTTCCTTTAATGGCATTACAGGTATTTTAATTGTTAAAGGTCTCGACATTTATCCCATTAAAAAAAAATCATTCTCTGTTCTTATTTAATAATCCATCGGTGAGTCCTAGAATTTAAATGGAGGATATATTTTAGTAGAGAGCCTTCAACTAAGTCCAAAGGCCAGACTCAAATAGTCTTAGCTATGTTCTGGTTCCTTTTGTGACTTTTTGAGTCTGAATCTTAGATTACCCATTTGTAAAATGGAGAGAAAAGACCACCTTTCTGTTCCCTCTGTCATAGGGTGACTTGCATGAAATGGAGGATCTGGAATGTGTATCATAGTATCTGAGGATTCCAATCTTCTCATTTTAGTATGTGATAGTCTGTGCTCAAGTCTATTGTTCAACAAGGAAGGAGCTTTTTGACTAGGAGTCAGGAGACAGGGGTTCTAGTCCTGGCTTTTCAATCAGCTAGATGGTGATGACTATATAGTGCTTTAAGGTTTACAAACCCTTTATCTCATTTGACAGGTGAACTTAGGCAAGTAACTTAACCCCTCTGAGCCTCACTTTCTTCAATAAAACAAAAGCTTTAGTTGAAGCCCTTTCCAGCTCTAACATTATTCTCTGTATTAAGGAAAGAAAATGAAATTTGTTTTCCAGAAATCTATGGTCTTCTCCCATCCCTGCCCTAATCTTTTCTGGAATTGCTACTAAGGCATAATTAGAACATTAGGAAAAATGTATTTTGCATCTATTTGTTTCAGGCAGGTCTTGGATGGCAGCAAATAAATGACTGAACAAAGTACAGATGACCTCATCTATAAAGTCTTTGAATTTTATAGATATAATTTTAATTAAATTTTTACTGATATCATTTGTTTTTATATCACCTTATTTTATGAAAAGATCACTTTCCTGTTTCCTATTCAGAAAAAACATCCCTTGTAACCAAAAAATATGAGAAGAGAAAAAGCAGATCAAATAAAACTGATTGGTATAGCAGCCAAGATATGTAATTTATGGAATTTTCCATAACCATACTCCCTTACTTGTGCACGAGGGAAGAAAGTAAATTTTCTCTTTCATAGACTTTGAGATAAGAATCTTTGGCTCTTCCAAAACCAACTAGCCTAGGGAAGATAAGCCCCTTTCTGTTGACAAAACTGGTGAAGACAGCCTTAACGGAAATTTACCTGTTCTGCTAGTGGGGTGGTAATATAATCACTCACGATCCAATGATTGGATTATCAAAGAAAAAATTAATATTTGTGTTTTGTGGGGAAATCTGCCAAGAAAAATTTTCTTGATTTAACATTCTAAATCCTAAATTATAAATTATAAATGTTTATAACGTAAAAAGAAAGATGACTCAGCTTACATAGTTTTCCCCACTCCCCAATATCTCTGTACTTCTCAAATTGAATTAACATTTGTAAGAATCTTGAACCAGGAAAAGTTTGTAATACATTTAAATGCAGTTTTGGATGAACATTCCAGAATAATAGTCACCTAATCTTCAGCTAGATCTACTCAATTCTTTCCTCAACTCCTCTTCCTTTCAATACAATACCTTGCCCTTTCCTTAAGTGGTTCACAGGCCAGACTCTTAGAAATGTGGAAGACAGTGTTCTTAACTTGATCCATGGCACTTTTTGTGCTTAAATACTGGTTCCCACCCTTAATGCAGTTTCCCTGAGGAAGAGATCTTTTGTTCCTGACCTATGACCTACTTTCCAGTGAAGAGAAATCTAGAAAGGAGAAATATTTGATCCTTAATATTTCTAGTGAAATGTGGTTTTTAATATGCTTCCACAGGATATAAGCAGAATGGGGGAATTCATTCAGCCTTTTGTTAGTATGTTTATGTTAATATGATTGAGAAAGAGAAAATCACTTGACTTGGTCAGTTGGTGCTATTTTGATCATATGCTCAAACTAGAAGTCGGCTCAACATTAAAATAATCTACAAAAATAATTTGAGAATATGGCATCCCATAGGTATCACCTGACCCTGCTCCATGCCTTACTAATGTCTTAGAGTTAATCTTCATTAATCTCTCTAGTTCTATTGGGAGCTCGAGACAGAATTCTGACTGTAGGATCCTAAAGCTAGAAGGGGCCAAGGTCATCTAGTATGATCTTTTTACAGATGAGGAAACTGAGGCATAGAAAGGTTAAATGACTTGCCCAAAGTCACATAGTTCAGAGAGAAGATTTTGAGCCCAGGTCCTTTGACTTGAGTCTAGTACTCTGTCATTCTTCCTCTCCTCTTTCTCCCTAGGACAACCATGAGGAAGACTATTTTCTCTATGTGGCCTACAGTGATGAAAGCGTCTACGGGAAGTGAGTGGCAGGGTCCAAATGGATGGGAGCAACTGGACTTGGTGGGGGGGGAGAAAGGGTGTGTGTGGGGATTTGGGGGTGGGCTGGGTGGGCTCCCACCAGAGAGGAGGCTGAAGCAAGCCTAAGACAACTGGAAACACTTAACCACACACCATACACACACAAACACCATCATTTGTTTACTATCATTTGTTTACCATCTCACTTGATATCTTTTGCTACTTTCCTGGCCCAGGAAGAAGGCATTGCAGGACAGAGCTGCTGGATTGGCTGGGGGAAGTTTTCGACATGTATGATTGGGAAATGGGGATGGCACCCCTCCCTGCCCTCTTCCCACCCTGTGAAGTTAGCCTTTGTTGTGCTGGATAAGAAGGGTCAGGGGAGGGGGGTGTTGGTAGGTTGTTTTCAGGTAGTCTCTGTCCAGGGAGGACTTCCCAGTTTTCTTACCCTGGGGAGTGGGAACAGTTTGATACATTGGTAGGAGGGGTGTGGGTGGGAGAGACAGAAGAAAATGCTCTATGACTACCCCAGTATTTGACCAAACTTGTTTTTATCATCTCTCCTTGGCAACATCTCTTCCATAGTCCTACTGCAGGCTTTATCCTCCCCCAATATCCCTAGGTATCATTCTCAAAGGGAAATATTACCCTAAAGTTATAACCACTATTGCCTGGCTTATTGGGCTTGTATCTCCAGACTTCACTTAAAAGACAGTACAGAAAGACATGGAGTATGGAGAATAAGGGGAGAGTGTTTGCTCTTTTTTGTCTTCTGTGGAAGTGTTGGGCCAGGAGTTTGCATCTCTCTCCCACCTGACGTTTCCTTGTCCTTCTAAATTGAGGGCCAGGCCTGGGGACCAAAGAGGAAACTTATTTGGCATTAGGACCCTAAAATATAACTCCTTTACCCTCCTGTCTAACTTCCATTCCACAGTCTTATGAAATGTCCCAGTGGTGATAAAATCACTAAAAGGATGTGGCTCTGAGTTGCGTGGACTTTGGAAAGGAGGGTAGGCAGGATATATCGCTAAATTGAACTTATGGAGAACCTCTGTCCCAGCTTCTCTCTGCATACCTTTTAGTACAGAATAAGAAGCCCTACCTGCCCTGGACTTGATTAACCTTCAAACATTCCCAACTGTAGGTGGGAACTTTCCCTATCATTCCTAAACCCCACAATTCTGGGTACAGGAGAAGGTGGGGAGGGGGATTACCTCTCTAGCATTTTTGCTCCCATGCACACATAGATGGTTGATAAATTCAACTCCCTTGTTCTGTATTCATTCATCAAAGCTGCTGTTAGAAAGTTCTGGGTCCTGTTTTATTTTTGTCAGTTTTGATTATTGTTTTCTCTTTTGGTGGGGGGAGGGGGGCAGGGAAAGAGGTGTTGAACTCAGCCATTTAGTTCCATCTTTGCTTGGAAATCTGGTCCCCTGTGATGGGGAAACACCTCTCTTTGTCAGTTGTTGTACTAGCTGCAGGTTCCTGTGTAAATGAAGTTCTTGCTGTGGGGCAAGGAAATAAAATAATTGCACACTTTAAGATCAACCATGGCCTCACAAATGGTGTCTTTCTTTAGAGAGTGTGTGTGTGTGTGTGTGTGTGTGTGTGTGTGTGTGTGTGTGTGTGTGTGTGTGTGTGGTGATTGGTCAGTTGTCAAGGAATGGACATTCTTAATACCTTCAAGCATGGATGAGTGCTTGTATGGATGTTAAAAGTGTATGTACATGTTAACAGACAGTGCTCTAGGCAGGAAAGGCTGCCTAGAGGTACAGTGAGGCATAGGTGAACAACTCGGCAATGACATGTGGAGCCTTTCTACATGATGACTGTTTAGTCAGCACTTACTGTGTGCATATCTGGTCTGAAGCATTGTGTCCTACATTCCCAACTGACCCTATCACTTGATCACAAAATAGCCTAAAAAGGGCTGTCCCTTTGCCCCCCCCCTTCACTAGTCACACAGCAACCAATACCAGCCAAGTAACACAGATGAAGAGGTAACTCTTATATGGCCATTGTTTATCCCATCCTGAACCTTAGAGCTCAACTCCCATTTACTCACCATAGATATCTGGTGGGCTGTCCTTCCCGTGAGGCAACTTCTAGCAGGTCTTACTGAACCTGGAAAACTTCAAATGTAGGGCTAGTCATTGACTGTCAACACAAGGACTAGCCTAGATACAGTAGGAGATGCTTGTCAACAGTCAGTTATCCTGTGTGTGTGTGTGTAAAAGTTGTCCATAATGATGAAATCATAGATATGTGAAATGTTGAAAATACAGAATGAGCTTTTTGGGGGGCTGGTGACACTGGCCAAGTCACAACTTCAACTCTGTTGAGACTATAAATTGCAGTGAAGGTGTAAATTGCATTAATTGGTAGAGGGAAGTGTCCTCCTCTGGGAGTTTCTTATATACCGATGAAATTACAGATCCACTCAGTCTTTTCCCTTATTCTTTTAGAACATCTATTGTGTGTGGTATGAACTAAGACATTTTCTTCCCTGAAAGAGCTTATAAGGTAATGGGAAATGAGATGAAATCTCTTATTGTTGCCTCATCTTTATCACCTCTCCTGATACTGTCTTCAAGAAGAAATGGAATTGGAAAGTTACAATTTAACTCATCTGTGAAGGGTCTGAGGAGAAATGGAGGAAAGAGAAGACATAAGAAAATTTTACTGAGAGACTGAGAATATGAAGAGGAATTTCCTAAGACAGTGTTGTTTAGTCATTTTTCAGTTGTTTCTAACTCTTCATGACCTCATTTAGGGCATTCTTGGAAAGGATACTGGAGTGGTTGGCCATTTCCTTCTCCAGCCCATTTTCCAGATGAGGAAACTGAGGCAAACAGGATTAAATGATTTGTCCAGGGTCACACAGCTGGTAAGTGTTTGAGACCAGATTTTAACTCAGATGAGTTTTCTTGACTCCAGGCCAGGCACCCCTAGAGAAGGAAAGATAGTTCAGTTAACATTATTCTTTTGAAGAAACATTGAATCATCTGCCTGAGTAAGCCTTATTGGAATACACTCCAGCTGGTTAGCTGTGATCTCCCAAGTTGATATATTGTAAATAATTATACCTTATTATTTGTTACACTATTAATAAATTGTATATCCAGTAACCTTGATGTTTAGCTCTATGAGATTAGGAGGTTTGAGAAGAGTGAAATCTTTGAGTAAAAGATATTTCTCTGGTTTATTTCATAAATGGCATTTAATAAACTGGGCAGGGTTCAGAACTATTTGGCTAACAGATGTTGCAATTTTAGTAATTTATGAGGGAATGTCAAGACATACCTCTTGATTGCCTTAGAATCCTGGATCAGAATACTAAAGTCATGAGTCAGCTAGCAATGTTAGAAGTGGAATTTGGTGGAGCACACCACCAGTGTAGGACACCACCCCGTCCTCCCAGCCATGTCTGTTGCTAAACAAAAATCAAACCCTAATGCATTTATGAGGTAGAACAAAGAGAGCAAAATGTTTGGGAATTCAAGTCTCAAGTCCCTGCTATATGCAAGACATGGCTTCCCTCCTGCTGAGAGATGCGTGTACACAGGTATACATGAATACAAGGTAATTTAAAGGATGGGACACTAAAATGAAGGGATAAGAGAAGGCTTTACAAAGGAAGTGGCCCCTGGGAGGGGAGCCTGGAAGGCCGGTAAGGATTTTGAGAATCTGGGGGTGGTGAGAAGGAAATGCATTCCAGGCATGGGATTTAACTTGCAAATGCATGATACAAAGGTGAGATGGCACATTGTTGTTGGTACTGCCGCTAGTGATTTGTTGTTCAGTAGTATCTGACTCTTCCTGACTATGTGGACCATAGCATGCTCATACTGTCCCGAGGGCCATTCTTGGAAAGGATACTGGAGTGGTTTGCCATTTCCTTCTCCAGTGGACCAAGGCAAACAGGTTAAATGACTTGCCCAGGATCACACAGTTAAATGTCTAAGGGCCAGAAAAGCTGCCTAGTAGTCATACTTTATAAAAATTTTCTTTAAAATTTAGATATTCTTAGGGGCAGCTAGGTGGCACAGTGGATAGAACACCAGCCCTGGATTCAGGAGGACCTGAGTTCAAATCTGGACTTAGACACATAACACTTCCTAGCTATGTGACCCTGGGCAAGTCACTTAACCCCATTGCCTAGCCAAAATAAGAAAAGAGCATCACTAAAATTTAGATATTCCTGATACATAATGCAGCTTTTTTTTTCTGACGTGAAAATTGGTACAGTTTTTGAGCTGCCTTAGATGTTTTCTATAACAATGACTTTCAGGGGTGCAGTAGAAAATTTGCCAAAAACCAGTATCTCGCTGTGGTCAGACAGAGTTCACCCTGCAATTAACTTCTTGCCATCACTGTATACACAGAAGAAAGGCTTATTCTTAGCTATAGGAATCAGGAAAGGGTTTGTGGAATTTTATGTTAACACAATATTTTTTGTTTCATTTCCCCATTTCTCTTCAGAAAAGCAGTGTAGCCTTTGCTCCTTTGTGACTAGATTAGACTGGCTTTATTCCTACTCCTCTGCAGCAGTGATGAAGTAACACTGTCACGCCATGACCACACAAGGAGCAGGTGTTCTTAAAATGAATGTGACATTCCAAACCTCATACACATCGATCTAGCAGATGTCAGTAAGGACTGACACAGTAACAGGAAATACTGAAATACAGGGCCTGAAAAAAGACTGTGTGCATTGTAGTATCCAGCACATTTAAAAAATATATATATATATTTCCCTGGGGCGGCTAGGTGGCACAGTGGGTAAAGCACCGGCCCTGAAGTCAGGAGGACTTGAGTTCAAATGCAGCCTCAGACACTTAACACTCACTAGCTGCGTGATCCTGGGCAAATCACTTAACCCCAATTGCCTAAAAAAAAAATTATTTCCCTTGTGTCCCTTCACCCGACATAGTATGAGCGTGTAAAGCTGGGAGAGAGGTGTTTCCTTACAGAAAAATCAGAGGGAAACAAACCATAAAGTAAGTTGTAAGCCACAAACCACACATTGGTCTACTGGCACCAGATATCTGGGTACTTGAGACACTATCCTAACATACCTGCATGTACATGCATACAAAAACACACACGAGAGCCAACCCAACACAGTGGAAAGCATGGTGGCTTTGGAGACTCTGGATTTAAATCTCAGCCCTAGTATTTATTATCTATGTGACTTTAGTCGATATTTTGTATCACTTAATCTTTCTGGGCCTCAGTTTCCACATCTGTAAAAGGAGAGGATGCTTTAGATGACTTTCAAGGGCCATCCAGTTAATTTAGCTGTGGAGCAACCCTGGCCATAGATTGTGAAACACCTCTCTTGCTTCAAGCTTCAAGCATTCTTTTCCTAATGTATTTCTTTTCTATTTAATAATCTGATGACTACTCTCTTGCACTTTCCTTTCATATTCAGGAATCAGTTCTTGCATAGTTCTTGCTGGGGTTGCCCCTCCCCAATCAGGCCCATTGGCAGAACTGAGTTTAATATGGGGAAGATCTAGAACCAGATTTGAGAGTTGGCATTAATTATGTTACCTGGGCCTCAAACAAATAATCCAACTATTCCTTTTTTTTTTCCTGGTGATAACTACAAGAGTGAAGTACTGGGGTATGGGTGTGGGTGTGTGGTAGAAAACTACTTTTAAGATTGGGGAATGGCTGAATATACCATTACCTGAGTATAATAGAATGTTACTGTATAATAAGAAATGATAAGGAATCCAGAGAAACATGGAAGGATGTGTATGAACTGATGCAGAGCAAAATGAGGAATGGGCAAGTATAATGGTATAATGGTAGGCAGTAGAAGGGTTTTTATTCAGGGACAGATTAAACTCAGTGGCTTCTGAGGTTCCTTCCAACTATGAAATTCTGTAATTCCTACGCTGAGGGAAAAACCAAGGTGTATTTCTCCCCTCAAAAATTTTCCTACTTCTAAGAGAAAGGGGAAGAAATTATCAATATTATGGGGGATATATATGTTATAGATCAAAATAATGTGCCTACTCTGAATCCTGTGGATACTATTTTGCTTTGTTTCCATCAGATATCTAATTCCATTTCCTGCATTTGAAGTGGCAAAGGAAAGAAGGAACATTTCTGCTGGTTAGAATTCCTTCCTTTTTCTATTGAAATGAAGTGAGGCATAGGCTGTGGCTAAAGGCCCTCAACCAGCTAATGTCCTCTGAAATTAGCAACTTAGTACAGTGTGTTCATCTTAATATTTTTGTTTTCATACCAATAATCTGTTTAAGAGATGTCTACTCCACTCAGTGGGAACAATTAGTCCATAAAATTAGTTTTTACTGAGTTTGGAAAATGGTAGCTTATGTTTGTATTTGTTCTTTCAATTTCAAAGCTAATCTTGTTTTAATTAGGTAATCAAGAAATTGTTATTGAGATCTTACTTAATGCGAGGTACTATGCTAGGGTTGCAGGGTATACATAATAAAAAAACACAGATTTCCTGCCCTGTAATGAGGCTAATAGTGTAATTCAACACCATGTTTTTATTTTTGAAAAGCCCC